ACATGACAAAAAATCAATTTACTATATAAGTATGGGTCTATTTCTGGACTCTATACTGTCTTCTACTGATCTATTTACCAATCTTTATGCCAATCCCATACTGTCTTGACGACTTATAAACTTTGTAGTAGATCTCTAAGTCATGTTGGCAAAGTCCTTCGTTTTGTTCTTATATAAGACTGCTTGAGGTATTACAGTTCTCTCACATCTCAGTATCAGCTTGTCAACTCCTATTTGAGAAAAAGGCTGCTGGGAAATTGGTGGGTATTGCACTGAATCTATAGACTAACTTGGGAAAAACTGAGATCTTACCAAGATTAAGTTTTCCAATTCATGAACATGAGATAACTCTCTATTCATGAGCATCTTTGATTTCTCTCAGCAATGTTCTATGGTTTTCACTGTAGAATTCTTACAAGTCTGCGAATTTATTACCATATATTCCATGTTGGGTGTTATCATAAATGGAAAGGTTTTTAAATATCATCTTCTAATATTTGCTGCCAATCTATAGGAATGCAATTCATCTTTGTGTATTACCCTTTTACCTTGTAACCTTGCAAAGTTACTTATTAGTTTTCATGGTTGCCTTTTAGATTCTTAAGGATGTGTCCTGTGAAGAACTACAAAATATGCAAGGAGAAACATTTTCACTTTTCTTTCCTATTTTCATACTTAACAAAAAAACCCAAACCTATCACACTGATGAAACCCTCTAGCACAATTCTGAGCAGAGGTGCTGAAAGAATACGGCCTCACTTTGCTGACAATCTGTTTTAATTGCAACACCATGTCCATTTTCATGCAATTTATCACTCAATTTATATTTAATAAAAAGCTATTTGTTTTTTATGTGTCCTAATTGTTTTCTTTCTTGACTTGTTTTTGCTCAATCGAATATATTTTAGAATTCTATCGTAATTAAATTACTGACATTTTAGTTATACTTTGTATAATTTTTTAAATGGTTGCTGCAATATGCATTCATGTAAAACGCAGTAACTTCACAACCATAATTTCATTTATCTCACACTCTTTGTACTATTGTTGTCCAATATATTGTCTACATACATTATAAACACCCACAATGCAATGTTGCTATTTTTGTTTTCAAATAAATTAAGAAAAGAGAAAATAGTCTTTTGCATTTACTCCCATGTCTACCAGTTCTTAACAGTGGTTCTGACTGACAGGAGCAATCTGGTAGGTTGAAGACAAGTACAGTGCTAAAATTACTACAATGCACAGAAGAGTCTTCACGACAGAGATTTAGCTAGCCCTAAATGTTTATAGTGCCCAGGCTGAGAAGTCATCAAAATAATATGCATTGTTTTTACCTGGTTGTTTTCAAGATTACCTTTCAACATTGCTTAGATAAAATTTTCCTGCCTTGCAGGAGGGGTCTCCGTGTTCATTAGCTCTGCAAAGTTTTGAAAGAAACTTTGGACACTTTATCACTATTTTTCAAACAGCTTATGCTGTATTTATCCTTCTCCTCTTCTGCTGGGGCTTCTTTACATGTATTTCCATCTGTTTGATATTTTACTCAGGTTCCCGAGAATCTGCTCACTGGTTTTCAATCTCTTTTTGTTCTTCCAATAGAATTCTTTCTTTTTTTACTATTATTGTTGTGCTGGGTGGAGGTACATTGTGGCATTTACAAAAGTTCTTACAATATATCAAATATATCATACTTGAATTCACCTCCTCCATCATTCTCCTTTATTCCCTCTCCCCCTGTTCCTGGAATAGTTTCAACAGGTCTCATTTTTCCCCAATTGAATTATTTCTATCTGTTTTTATGTTTATTGGGTGCTTTTTTCCTACTTTCCCAAATATTCTGCTATGCCTAGCCACAGTATTTTTTAATATTAGAAATAACACTTTTCAGTTCTAGAATTATCCTCTTCATTTTTTTTTATTCTTTTAAGACATATCTCAGCTGGGATTCTTCATCTGTCCATTATTACCTCATTTTCCTTTATGTTGTTGAGTATATTTAGAATAGCTGCTTTAAAGTCATTGTCTACTGACACCAACATCTGTGTCATCTTGGGGTTAGTTTCTATTAGTTGCTTTTTCTTTTAATTATAGTTCACATCTTTTTGCCTCTTCAACTATCTAGTAATTTTTGTTTTTTGGACATGGTGAATGAAAAGTAGACAGACTGTGGATTCTGTTGTCTTCCTCTGAAGTTCTACAAGGAGCTAAATGTGCTGGACTCAAACTCCAAACTCAGTCAACTCCTCCTGGCATAAAGGAGACAATCTTCTCAGTACTTTCAGTCTTCCAGCTGTTCTCTACCAGGTCCCCTGGAATCTCCCTCACACAGTTAGTTCAGGGCTCAGCCAAGTGTGTATGGGCTGAGTTTCCAAACAGATTTTGAGGCTCCTATTCATGCAACTCCTTCTTTTCTAGAATTTCCCTCTCTTACTTCACAGTTGCATTGAGAATTCAGGGCCCAAGGCTGGTGGCTCATGCCTATAATCCCAGCTACTTGGGAGGCAGAGATAAAGAGGATCATAGTTCAAAGCTAGCCCAGGCAAATAGCTCGTGAGACCCTATCTCAAAAAAAAAAAAAATTACAAAAAAGGCTGGTAGAGTGGCTCAGGGTGTAGGCCCTGAGTTCAAACCCCAGTACTGCAAAAAAGAGAGAGAGAGAGAGAGAAAGAGAGTTAGTTCAGAAAATCCTCTAAATCCTTAAGCCAGCAAGAATGCAGCTTTCAGCATAGACTAAAAAGTGTGCTTAGGCAAAAAAACAAGGAAATACAAATTTCATCTAGTGAAATTCCCCTCTTTCAAGAGCTGATTCCCTTCAGTTTCTGCCTGCTTTTGGTCATTCTCCAGTGCCTTCAAATAATAGGCTTTTTCCCCCTCCATATTTAGTCCAGTTTTTATATTAGAGGGATGGTGCAATAAGAGCAACTTCACTAACAACAGAAATACAAAATACCACATTCTTAAATGTTTTATTTCAAACAGAAATTATTTCATCCACTTATGCTTTGACACATCCACCTCTCCTAATCCTCATGCACAAAAACCTAGTGACACATAGTTTCTATGACACACTACTTCCAAACCTGAATAAGTTTCTCATATTATGAAAGTAACATGGATGTTGGACTTAGAGAAACCATTTACTAACTGTATAAACTTGGAAATGTCATTTATTACTTCATGCTTTTCTACTTGTTTGCAGGGGGTAATTTAAAACTCATAGAAAGACTAAATGCTTATATTGCCTTGCATGCATAAGTCCCTAAATTCCATTCCCAGCACCACAAAACATAAAAATAAAAAATGGGGCAATAGAGGCCTTGCCTATCACGCAGAAGACCCTGGGTTTGATCCCCACCACAAAAAAGTAAATAAATACTGACATTGCAATGCACATAGCAAATGTTAAAAAAAATAAAATAAAATAAACTGGTGGTTCCTTTTCCTTAAAACTCTTCCTCTATTCAAGCAGTGGAAGCAGTAGGAGGAATTCCTAACATGATCATCTTTTTCTAGTTACTTTATCTCATTAACAGCATCTAATTCAATTTACTTAATAAGGATGAAGAACGTAAGACAAGATGAGGACAAGACCTGTGGACAAGATTGGGGGGAAGTAGGGGCTGTCAAAGAGACACTGAACCCAGGAAGGAGTCACTCCTCCAGGGTTCTCTCAGCAGGCAAGCATGGAGGCAGGAGGAAGTAAACTGACACAAAAGGCATCTTTATCACAGAATTTCTCCAGGTGTAAATGAGAATCTACATATATGATAAACTCACAATTAGCTAGAGCAATCTAATAACTAAACTGCTGAGGTAAGTGAGACTAATTTCAAAAGTGAAATAAAGGAAATGAAAAAGTCAGTACAAAAATAGTCTTTCAGGCTTAAAACATACATTAACTAAATTCTTAAAAATTTATTGTGCATCTCCTGCTTATAAATTTTGTTCTTTGTAAATAAATAAAAGTTGGAATTGTAAAGGACTACATCTTGTATAGCCGGGCATCAAATTTAAAGTGGTTTTCTTTTCTAAGTTTATTAGAGACAGATGAAGCAAACATAGAGTTGCTACCAGGAAATTGAAGTGGAGAAGCTGACTGCTCAGAGAAGAAAGAATTCAAACTGTTAATTATAAGGTTGTCATGGTTACATGATCATATATATATATATATATATATGAGTGTATATACACTCGCCTTAAGCGGAAAGAGACAGGGCCAAAGCAAAACTGACATATATTAAGTCATGACACAATACACCACTTCAATACTTCATACTCATGGATTTTGCGTCCATGAATTCAACCAACTGCAGATTGAAAATATTTGAAAAAATGCACCTGTACCAACCATGTACAGACTTTTTCCCTTGCCATCATTCCTAAACAGTAGCGTATACAGCATTTGTATTATACTAGGGATTGTACATAATCTGGGGATGATTTAAGCTGTATAGGAGGAGGTACATAGAATGAATGAAAATGTGGTCATTTTTCTGTATCTAGAAGCTGTGATGAGGAACAGACATAGTTCCTTGGGTTCCTTAGATCTACACTTGTGCAAAGCAGAGGTCAGCAGAGTCTTCCTGTAGAGTCAGATAGTGGATGTTTAATCTTGTAAGCCACATAAACCTGTGTTGAAACTACTCATCTCTTTCACTGTAGCTTGACAGCACCATAGAAAATATGTAAATGAATGGAAGTGGCTATATCCAATGAAATTTTATTGACAAAAACAAGTGGTGGGCTGGATGTAGTCTGTGGGTTGTAGCTTGAAAACCACTAGTGTAAACAATGAATGGGAAATATCTACAGCAAAATGGTACTAAGCAATCTCTTGAACCCATTCCCAAATTTCAAATGATGAACAAGAACTATCATTAGAGGTGTATGCAATTGGATGTCCCTAATATTAAAGCAATAGTAATTTCACAGTCAGTGAAGTCGGTACATAATGGAACTACTTTTCTACATATCACCATGACCTGAGAATCATTTACCTGTATATAATCACCAAAAGGTGGAGAGTAAGCAATGCACTTCTCCAATGCACGTTGTGATTCATTTCCCTGAGAGATTGCATCCAGAATGTTGCTTGCAATTCCAGTCTTAGGTCCAGTGGTTTTACCTGTAGCAGCTAAGGGCAAAATCAATACAATTCAGGTTATTTTATCATAAATTATAAACAGAGTGTAAAACTCATAAACCCAGCATATGCTCAAAAAGAACACAAATTTTAGATTGCCAATATATGTTTATATTTATTTTCTCCAGGGGAAATTATGTATAGTACATGACATTATTTTATTCATTTGAAACAAATGAAAATGAGAACTTGCCCTATGGGTAAAACGATTATGATGGAAACATTTAAAAAATATATAGACGTGTATTTCTAACCCAAGGCCTACAAAATGTAAATTAAACATTTTTGTTAATGCAGTAATAGTCATAGTCACTTCTCAGAGCAGATCAACATAAAGTAGAGATATATTAAAGCACGTTTCATTTTTTCTGGCTTTAAAAAATTACAAATTAATGTTTGGGTTCAGAAAGATAAAGAAGATATATTTCCATTGACATTCATCTTTAATCTCTTTTCATTCAATCCTATTTTTCCCACAAGCAGCAGCTTAGAATTTTTTTCCCAGATTAACTTTATGCACAAACATGTGCATGTAAGAATATAAGCTTTAAATAAATATAAATGAAACCATTTATGTGTATATTTGCTTTTTTCACTGAAAATATACCTTAGAGATTACTTCATGACATGTAGATATCCTTTGATTAGTTTTTGAAAAATTGCACAGTATTCCATTTATGATGAGCTATTTAACCACTCCCCTTTGGATAAACATTAAAGTGTGTTCACCATTGACAACCAATGCTGCAGCAACTACTGTGCCTGAAGAACACCATGTGTCACTTTTTAAAGCTATATTTGAATGAATATTTGACTTATACTAATCGAAAGCCAGGAATTAATGAAAATTCCATTTCTGATGGTCAGTAATACATTTTGGGGGCATCCAAACACTTTGAATATATTACTTAGAGATTTCTGTCTCTGGTTTAGAAAAAATGATTTTTCTTTTTGGTAATTAAGATATCCACTTTACTAAATTATCAAAACTTTCACCAAATATGTAAAAACACATTATCTTTTTCAGCTATAGAGGTGATTTCTGACAGACTTTTACAAATACTGAAAATAGCTTTCAGGTCCTTTGGAAATAAACAAGAACTTCTGGATTTGAAGACTGCGACGTTATTGAGGAGAAAGAAAACTCAGTAACTTCTCGAAAAGAATGAACGTTAAGTTATAAGTCTTATTATTTACTTTTTCACTAAATGTTCCATATAGTTTTAAAATAATGTAAAAAGATATTTTTGCATCTACTATGCATCTTAAAATACAAGGTAAGACCACAAGGCAGCCTGACAGGTCTTCTGTCAGGTGCAAACTGGATTAGAAAACAATCCCCAGAATTCCAAAAACACTATGGCGATCTGCACTCAACCAGGACTCAAGGGGTCCAGGCCCTAGATGCCGTCCTACATGGGGTAATCTTGAATAAGACTCCCAATTTCTGCATATCAGAACCCCCCACCCCGCCCAGAATGCATCCTTAATATCCCTTTCAGCCGTTTTGCTGCAATGCCATGGAATCAGAGTAGTAAGTTTCAAGTTGTTTAGAGTCAGGGTTTTTATGTATATATTATACATACATCTTTAAAACCCACACATCATTCCCCCATGTTCATCGGTACAGGGAAATGTATTTTCCTATTTAGCAGCCACTCCGTCAGTTCCTTTCCTAATTCCTCCAAGATCTCCTCTGGAGTTGTAGAAGCCAAAAGCTTCACCACCTCTCATCAGGCTTACCACCCTTGTCAAACAACACATCACTCTTCCTGAGTTCTAAGACTCTGTCAAGAACCCACCCAAGGAGCTCAGCGTCAGCCTCACCTACAAGGGAGGTGCTTCAGTGGCTACACTTCACGACTTCAGTTGTCAAATCTGTCACAGCATTTTGTTTGAGCCAAGTTTGGCATGGATGGTTATGGTGATACAACTTTTAGGATCAACTACCACAGGAGCAAAGGGAGCATTGGTCTGTCTGGTTCCTTGCTCTGGTTTTTACCCATTAGGTATCTTGGGGCCAAAAGGAAGATAAACAGAGGGCCAAGTGCTCAGTCCTGCCCCAAGTGCATCAGCCCACAAAGTCTTGTAAAGCACTATAGTACTCCCAAAGAATTCCTTTTCCCTCATTATTGTCAATCATGATTTAATAATGATTCAGTAAAATGATTTTGTTCTCCATAAAAATACTATTAAAGACCTTTTCCTTATTACACAAAGTATAATGCATTTAAGTGTCTTCATTTCATCATTTGGGCATTATTTGTTTTCAGTGAATTAAAAATGAAAGTAAAACTCATTATTGGAAGTATCTGGTTAAACTCCACAATGCTGACACAGTCCTCACTCACATGATAAGCACACACTGGGCAACACACTTGCCAAATTCAAATATGGATTTTTACTGAGCCGAATTTCTTTTGGTGGTTCTCCCAAGAGTGAAGTCTGGTTCTTAGAGGCAGCCTATGAATCAAAGGAAAAAACGAGGTGCTTAGTAAGAGGCATAAGAAAATTAAGGGGGTGAATATGGTCAAAGTACATTACACACATGTATAAAAATGTCAAGTTGAAATCCCTTATTTTGTACAATTAATATATGCTTGTTTAAAAGTTAAAGTAAAATAAAAATGCAGAAATAATAGAATAATACTTGAATTTTAGAAATGAAATAGAACTGAAGGTATTTCCTACAACACTCTTTATGGAAGCTGAAAGATTTCATCTTCACCAGAAAAAACAAATTTCATAAATCATTTCTAGAAAGAAAGTTATTAACAATCATTATTAAAATTGTTATTTCACATAATATGGCTGAAACCAAATGACAAAAGAAAAGCATATTCATCCCTGGTACTACAAATAATAACAACCAAAATAAGTGAGTTTAATAAACTCCAGTGGCAAAGCCAGGCATGACAGCTGAGGGTGTGGCTCAAGTGGGAGAATGCCTGCCTAGCAAGTCAGAGGTCCTGAGCTCAAACCCTGTACCACAAAATATAAGTAAATAAATAAATAACATAAAGCAAGGTGCAGGGAATGCATGCCTATAATCCAGCTATTCGAGAGGCAGAGGCAGGGTGATCCTAAATGCAAAGCCTACCTGGACAAACGTGGTGAGATCCCATCTCAAAAAACAAAACAAAACAGAAAGGGGGTGGAGGGGTTTGAAGGGGACAGCCCTGGAGGCCTAGCTCAAGTAGTAGAGCACTTGCCTAGCATGCTCAGGACCCTGCATTGGGTTCACTCCCCAGGGCTGCAAAAAAATTTTAAAAAGTTAATTCCCAACTCTACATTTAGAAGGCAATGTTAGAAATTCACATTTCTTGAATATAAATGATTTCCCTGTATTTTCATATCACTAGTTAGGTGTAAGACTTAAAGAAATACATAGTTACTTTTTTATGGTTTTTGAGATAGGTTCTTACTACAGAGCTCAGGCTGGCCTGGAACTCACAATCCTCCTGCCTCAGTCTCCTAAATTCTTGCATTACAGGCATGGACCACCTCGCCTGGTTAGGGATAGGATTCTAATAAATTCTTACACAAGAAAAAGAGATGGGATCCCGGTGTGATTCTCCTGAGTATTTCACATTCTAGCAACATTTTGCTTGCTTATTTATTTTTTGGTGGGACTGAGTTTAAACTTAGGGTTTCATGTTTGCAAAGCAGACACTCTACCACTTGAGCCACACTCCAGTCCATTTTGCTCTGGTTATTTTGGAGACAGAGTCTCATGAACTGTTTGCCCTGGCTGACCTTAATCTGCGATCCTCCCATCTCAGTTTCCCAAGTAGCTAGGATTACAGGCGTGAGCTACCCATGCCCGGCAGCTGACAATATTTTTTACATTTTATTCTCTGACTATAAAGGTTTTAAAATAAGACATGACTCAGATTAATATAAAATAGGTTAAAGCTAGTAGGTTAGCTTTTGTTTTAAAAATGGTTTTTGTTTTGTTCCCTAAATGGAGTGAAGAAAACATACTCCCAAAGTGCTGATTTCCATATTTGAGAACCATAGCTCCTTATATCTGTCCCTTTTCTACTCAATATCATTGTAGTTAGACAGAGGAATCTGTCTTGTACCTCTTCATAAGACTCAAAGAAGTCCAGATTTGCTTGTGATATGCAAATTACAGATATAGATGTATCCATTCAGGCAGTTTATTGAGTACTTACCAGCAATATTAAAACAAGTAAGACAGAAATACTACCCCAAAGAAATTCATAGTCCAGTGATTAACATGGACCCATAAGCTTATAGGTGGGAGCTAAAACTATCACAGTGGGTAAAATCACCATGGACAATCATACAGCACGAGAAGGCACAGTACCCCAGATAAAATTCAATGATTAAATGTATAGAGGAAAGGCAGACAGCAAAGGGCTTTTTCACATTTTATTTCTTAGGTACTCAGATTAATGAGGTTATATCCACTCAGGAATTCTTAACTCTAGCTATATGGGAATAAGAATTTATAAAGTTTTAAAATAGGTAAAATTTCCCTACAAAGAAAAGTCTAGAACATATCATCATGGGTGAATTCTACCAAACATTTAAAAAGAAACTAGCAGCAATCCTCCAAAAACTTTGAAAATATTGAAGAGGAGGGAGTACTTCCTTGCTCATTCAGTAAGGCCAGCATTGCTCCAGTACTAAAGCTAGATAACGACAATACAGGAAAACTATACACCAATATCTCCTATGAATAGCAATGCAAAATCCTCAACAAAATTACTAGGCAAAGTGAATCTAGCAGCACACGAAAAGCATTATGCACCATAACCAACTGGGATTTATTTCTAGAATGCCAGGATAGTTCAACATGTGCAAACCCCAATTACAGAGCAAAGGGAAACATACACTATCATCTCACTTGATGCAGAAAATGCACTGGACATAATTGAACACAAACTCATAACAAAAACACTAACAAATTAGGAATAGAAGGAAGCTGCTCTGAGATCAGAAGCAAGATATGGATGCCTGCTTTCACCACTTTTGCTGTATAGCATTGGAATGTCCAGCTAGATTGACCAGGCAGGAAGAGGAACTAAGAGGCATTCAGACTGTGAAAGAAGAAGTAAAATTTTGTTTTGTAGATGATATAATCTTACATGTAGAAAACTATAAAAGACCCCACTAAAAATAGTTAGAACTAATAAAATCATTATCAAAGCTGCAGTATACAAAATCAATACACAAAAATCAGTTGTTTATGTATACTAACAACAAGCAACCTAGAAAGAACATTAAGAAAATAATTCCCTTATAACAGCATCAAAAGTAATAACATACTTAGAAATTAAATAGGGAGGTAAAAATCTTGTACTGTAACCTATAAAACATTGCTGAAATGAATTAAACAAGACATAAACAAATGGAAAGACATCTTTATAAATACTATCACTACATAACTGGTGTTAATGATACTCGTAAGGTTTTCTAAGCTATAAAATTATGAAGTTAGTTTTATTTTTAAAATAGCATGTATTTGTGAAAGCCATTCATTATTGCAAACTTTTTAAAAAGGCAAATATTTCTCAAAATAAAGAATCTACCCATTTCAATTATTTTGCTATGACAGACTTTAAAAACTCATTTTACACAAATCAAAATTATTTTACTGATAATCAATCTGGCAAATAAATAGGCACAATACCTCATGTCAGCTGGAATAATTTATCAAAAGATAGATTTGTGGCTTGCTTGTTTACACTAACAGGATTTTCAAGAGTGCAATATTTTTTTATCAATTTCAGGCATAAATGAAAATTATTTTAAAAAAATAATTTCCCTGACTTAGCAATAATCTAGTCTGTAATTCATATTTACATATTTAAGTATATTATAAACTGCCTTTCAAGTTTAAAAAATGGTTAAGGTTGCTTTATGAAGCTTCATAAATTACACCAACTATAAAATAGCCACAAGTTAGAATATCCTACTGTTAGAAAAATTTCATTTAAGTTAACTTCCTTACCCCGGAACTTATCTCTGTGCCTTTTGGCTGGCTTTGCTGCTGCTTCTGGTGTACTGTCAGCAGGCCTCCAGCAGTAAGGTTTGGAAAGGTCTGAAGATAAGGCTGTGACCCTGAGAAATTTCCTTCTGTGAGTCCCACTGTGGCTGGCTGTTTCTCCTGAGTGTTACCGTGGCCCAGCCCAGCTAGTCCAACAGTGTGCTGAGTCGGGAAGAACGGTACCAAGCCCATCCCAGCTGGTGCAGTTGTTTGAGTTGCAATCAGATTAGGTGCTATGAACCACAAATGCAAAAAACTTTCAGACAGACAAGATTTACCATAGTCCTCTTGATTTTCTTATGGGCAAAATATGGAGAAACCTATTTTTATCTATTAGAAAACTGTTAAATTCAAAAGGTGAGATTAGAAGTTTTATGTAGGGAGGTTCCTTTATGAAAAAAAAAAAAACCCAAAATCTACAATAGTAATAAATGCTTTTTTATCTTCAAAAATTCTAGGATAATTTCAGTAATATTATATTTTCAATTCTAAGTTTTGTATGTATTTTAGAAGTCTATGTATGTTTTCGAATTTAAGTTATATCTGTACTTGTAAAACATGCACAGGCACTGCAATTTATCTGCTTCCATTTTGCAGCTGATACGCCTTATTTGACAATAGGGTGGACTGAGCACAGCGGTAGTTTGGTCAGCTGGCTTGCATCAGCGGGTGGTGTGTATAGCTGTTCTCAACTCTGGAGGTCAGTATCTTCATATCGGTAACTTGAAACTGGCTTTCACTAAAGAATTTCAGCTCAAAAATCCACAAATGATACAAGTCAAGTCATTTTTTAAAAACCTAGAGAGCTGGTTCTTTAAGACAAGCACACTACTTTTTTTAAATCAGCGTTTGTGACTACATAAACATTAAATTAACACAGAAAAGTTTGTTTATAGTAAACAAAATTCTGAAAGAAGTACAAGCTTTAGTAGGAAAATTTGGATTATTCCAACGTTTAAAAATCTAGGTCAGCTAGACACAGACGGTCACACCTATAGTTCCAACTACTCTTGGGCTGAGGCAGAAGAATCACCTGAGCTCACCAGTTTGAGATCCAGCCTGAATAGCCACATCTCAAAGCACCTCATAGCAAGATCTAGGCTCAAAAAGAAAAGAAAAAGAAAACAAAAGCTTATTGGGCAAAATTAATGAAAAGAGCTAATATTGATAACCACTTTAAGTTAAAGTTACATTTTACAAATTCACTAAACATATTTCTTTTTTTTTTTTTTTTTTTTTTTTTTTTGGTGGGACTGGGGTTTGAACTCAGGGCTTTGTGCTCTGCAAAGCAGGCACTTTACCATTTGAGCTACACCTCCAGTCCATTTTGCTCTGATTAATTTGGAGATGGAGTCTCATGAACTATTTACCTGGGCTGGCTTTGAACTGTGATCCTCCCAATCATACCTCCCAAGTAGCTAGGATTACAAGCATAGGCCACAGATACCTGGCTTAAACAAATTTCTTAAATAACTTTTAGTACTAAACATTGAAAGATGGATAACTTCGTTCTTTTATCTTATAGTGATAAGTTTATTTGGACACCAAATTTTCAGTGTTTTAAAAATATAGCACATGCCACAGCAAATGGTTTATTTAATCTAACACAAGTAATAAACATTTGCATAAGACTTTAGTCATAGAAAATTGAATTTTTTTGGAAGGACAGATCCCACCATACCATAAAATTTTCTTCAATGAGTTAACCTTTTCCTGGTCAATTTTAACAGTCAGAGCTGGCTATTTGTTCATTTGACTAGCTGGCTTAAGTACAACAGTTTAAATCTGGTAACTACATTTAATTGACTTTTAAGTCCCCGGTGGCTTTTGTTGTCACTCAGCATGTTCACATTTAAGCAAACTTCCAACTAAACTTCACACTGAAAGAGACTTTCAAAATCATATTCAAATACAAAATCTTGGGATAATAGCATGCTTAAGTTTTCTAAAGTAAAATAATGTCATGTGTTCAGAAGCACTTAGTACATACAACATGTTTTTCTTTGAGAACCAATTTGAAGATACAATATAAAAATGATTCAAATAAATTTACAAATGCTAGCTATTCCTTTTAAAAAAGCCAAGAAATTTTTATGCAGGTAAAAATTAAATGGGTCCATGTGTGATGTGCTGTCAGCCCAGTGGGCACCATGTCAGTCTCACATGGATTTATGTCTCCACCTTGTACTGCTGTGAACCTGCATAAAATATTAAAGCATATCCAGCAGGGGCTGTCTTATCTTGCCATGGAAGCAAGTCCATCAATAACTTATCAATATTAAAAATAGAAAAGACAAGCGGGTTCTTGAAATTTTAAGTGACTGAAAAGAACTCAAATTTGACCTTCCTGTGAATTAAAGTAGAATATAGGTAAACGATCTTTAAATCTGTTTAAATCTGTTTGCTAACTTCTTGGTAAATACACATCACTTACTTTTATGTGCTTCTCCGTGGTGCCCCAACTCTGTTTTCAGTGGAAGGGTTGACCCTATTCCTAGTGCCGTTTGCAGTACCATAGCTGGGGGCTCTCCAAGTAAGCCAGGTTTCTACAAAAGGCGAGAAAATAAGACTGCCTATGGCAGAAAGCAATCACTGGATAAAAAGGGTGTACACGTGAAATTTCACAATCTGGTCAGCTGTCTGACTCTACAAAAGGAACGAACTCATTTCAAAAGAGAAAGCACAATACTTACATTGTTAGTGTGAATATTCTCCAACTTCATCAATTGTTGCTGTGCCAGAGGCACATGAGAAAGATTCTGAAGGAGTAAGTTAGAAGTAGTCCCCATAACTGAGCTCTGTGGGCATGATAAAATATTGTTAGCTTAATTTTGAGAAGCTACTTATTGTAAAACCAATTCATCTACAAGCTCAATCTCCAGTTGAACTTTGTAAATGTAGCAGTGTCATAATATAATATCCCACTTTCCAATCTCAGACAATGCTAATTAATTCTTTTAATAATATTCAAGCGGTGACCATGCAGCTGTGAGAATAATTCCACATCCTTTCCTGCTTTCACCCTTCTTTTCCTCCCTTCACCCCTTTCTGGCTCTGTTAACAGTAACATTATACTCACTTACTTATCTGTTCATTTACTCACTCAACACGATTTGTGGAGCACTGTTTATGTGTCAGGTACTGTGCTACACAGTGACAAGTACAATATGATCAGCCCTCATGAGAAAAGTAAATTTTAATTATAAAAACATGTAGGCTTGTAAGTGGTAATTTAGCTGAGGAAAAACACAAGAAACTATACAAACACCAGAGGAATCTGACTTAGTCTGGAAGACTCAAGGAAGGTTTCCTTGAAGGCCTAACTCTTGTGCTGAGATCTGAAGGCTGAGTAGGAAAGAGTGGGTAGTGTCTGGGGTGCTTAGGCTGTGCTAGGGATGGAGGGGCATTCCAGGCAGAAGAGACAGCAGGAGCAAAGACCTCAGCAGGAGAGAACACAGCAAGGGTCTTTAGGACAGTGAAGTGCCATGGGCTCAGGAGACAGGAGAGGCCCACTTGTATAGGCCTAAAAGGCAAAACTACACTGGTCTTTCTCCTAACACAAAGGGAATGTTATCGTAGTCTGAACTTCCGCTCACACATAGGGGGTAACTCATTGTTTAGTGTTTGTTTGAAACTACAGAGACTAAGAGTGTTTTGCTAGATGCTGTAGCACCACTGACTAGCACAATGTCTAGTTATATACAGATAATAAAATATGCTGAGGGAATGAATGAATAAGAACCTTGTAATATCCGAAGTTCTATGTTAGACTGTGAGGATAAAAAATAAAATATGGGCTTTTCCTTTTCAAAAAACTGGGTTTAGGACCACACATTCATTTATTCAACCTTACATAAGCATCTATTATAATTTAACTTTGATTTGTAATTAGGATTACATATCCTTAAATTACCTGAAATTAATGAGCAATGTTTATCTTCACTATTATGAACATATTCGCACATTTAAAATACCTAAAAATGGTGAGAAAAATATTCTTTACTCTTAAAAAAACATGATTTTTTTTTTTGTGGTACTGGGGTTTAAACTCAGGGCCTCATGCTTGGTAGGCAGGCACTTTACCACTTGAGCCACTCTGCCAGCACACTTCTTGTAATTTTTTTTTTTAAGACAGAGTCTCTCAAACTATTTGCCTCAGGCTGACTCGAACCATGATCTTTCTGATCTTGACCTCCTGAGTTAGGATTACAGGTGTAAACTACCAGCACCAGGTTTATATGAATTATTTTACAGCATTGATTAAATTAAGAATTAAGAGTTACTATTCGTTTATTTCTTTCTATTTTTTTAGTGAAGACCACATTGAGTTGTTTTGAACTACTGACTTATTATCTACTAAAAATATACCGTAAGCCATACCTCTTCCATATTTAATGTCCTACAAATAGGAACCAATAAATATACATACAATTGTGCTGCTTTGATTAGCTTAACATAATCTGATGTACTCACTAGGTTATAATTTTCTATAGCTATACTTATTAAGGATGTTCTTTAAAAGGAAAATACTCAATTAACTTCTTCAGAACTTTGAGTGTTAAGAACAAATGAAATATTCAAACCAAATATTTGATGCTTCAGTGCTCCATGCTATTTACACACCTGATGTGCTTTATTCAAGTGTAAAAATGCAGGGGAGATGGATGGATTCATTAGATGAGGCAAGCTGTGAGGTGCTCCAAGAACTGCTTTGGGAAAATAGAAGTAAAAATGTAACCATAAGACTATGAAATTAAAAATAAAACAAGCTTCAAATATATTTCTGTAAACTTTATAACAAATTCATCAGTTTAGTGATATACTAACTTCATCAATGGTGAAAAGTGACAGCCTCCTCTCCTTGTGATTCAACTATGGAATTTGTTTTAAAGTTCTAGCACTTTCTGCCATAATTGTGCAACACCAACCCTGGGCTTTCTCTTCTCCAGCACTTAGTGCAACAAAACTAATTCCACAGGGAGGAGTGATACAGGAGAGTGATGGAAGGGGTGAATTCAACTATGATATATTGTAAGAACTTTTGTAAATGTCACAATGTACCCCCAGTACAACAATGATACGATGATAAAAAGAAAAAGAAAAAGATACCTATTGACTTGGGCTGATAGAGTGGCTCAAGTGGTAGAGCGCCTGCCTAGAAAGCACGAGGCCCTGAGTTCAAACCCTAGTACCACCAAAAACAAACAAATAGAAAAAGAAAACACATACACACACACACACACACACACACACACACACACACACAGGGATTTTGTCAGAGGGTAGTGGAAAGATGTAATCCTTGTGCTTAAAAACTTTATGTAAAATACTATTGAGAAAGCAATGTATGCACACAGAAATATTTATATAATAAAAACAAAAGACAGCAAAACTGTACACAGAGATAAGAGAATGAATGGTAACTATATGCTTTATCAAGTGTCAAGGTACAAATGCCAAAGTACCTTTCAGAACAGATAATAGAGACAAAAAGAATGACGAGATGAAAATACATGAAGAAATTTAATCTAATTATTATAAAGCATCTGGAAATAGTCATAACATACAAAATCATACATATATAATATAAAAACTACTTAGTGTCTAGAAAAGGTCCCAGTAATTCCTTTTCATAATGTAGCTGGAGCAAAATAAAAAGCCAGTTAAACCGGTATGGTGGCCACGCCTGTAATCCCAGCACTCAGGAGGCTGAGTCAGGGTGAGGGTGAATTTGAGGCCAGCCTCAGCTACATAGCCAGACTCTGTCTCAAAGAAAATAAAAATAAAAGCAGAACTTAAAAAGCACTAAACTATGAGAGGCCAAAGAAATAAACGCATCTTGCATCCAAATGTTTCAGTATCTGCGTTAAGTCTACATTGGGACACCTCAGAACGTAAGAACGACACAATGCTTTTGTTCCAATTATAGAACTGCCTAAGTTCATTAACCCATAGGAATGAAAGGATTCAGTGGTTTCCAATATTCTCTCAGTAAAGGAGGACGTATCAGCATGTGGGACTGGAGAAAATGCTCAGTTAAGAGCATAACTTAATGATGTCAGGACACTGTGAGGTTATATGACAAAACACCCTTTTAGGATTTTTATCACACGCTCTAACGTGCAAAAAACAAAGGCATTGGAGACCAGGAACTAGAGAAAAGGTTAGATCAAAAAGAATTAACCTAGAAGGTAACACCCACGCACAGGAAATCAATGTGAGTCAATGCCCTGTATAGCTATCCTTATCTCAACCAGCAAAACCCCTTGTTCCTTCCTATTATTGCTTATACTCTCTCTACAACAAAATTAGAGATAAGGGCAAAATAGTTTCTGCTGGGTATTGAGGGGGGGAGCGGGAGGGGGTGGAGTGGGTGGTAAGGGAGGGGGTGGGGGCAGGGGGGAGAAATAAACCAAGCCTTGTATGCACATATGAATAATAAAAGAAAAATGAAAAAAAAAAAATAAATAAATATAAGTGAAGAAAGATTCTTAATAAAACGCTGTCAACACCCCTAAAAAAAAAAACAAAGGCATTTGGGTGGGTATTGGTTACACAGAAAGAGCTCCCTTGCAAAGAATACATTATGGAATTACATGTAGAAATTTAGAGAAAATATTGCTTGACTAACAAAATAATTTGGATGGAAGACCACTAATGACCACTTGGGGTAAAAACATCAAAATTATACCCCCCCACACACATAGATTGTCTATGAAAGATGAAGATCTCCCTCAAAAACAATTATGGGAACCACAATGACAGAGGCCAAAATGTTTTTAAAATGATATTAAAGTTATAGATTATGGATGGAACAGTCAGTTGTAACTTAGCAAATGTTACAAAGGAATTTTCCGAGGTTACTTAAAATACAAACCTACTTGCCAACTTAAAAGATTTTATTAATTATATATGCAGAGAGAGATAAGCTAATACGAGAATGAAAGTGACAATATGTCAAAGTCTGTGAGAGACAGTGCTTAGAAGGAAATCTGTGGTATGAAATACATTAGAAGAAGGACCCCATGCAAACAATCTACTTCTACTTTAAGAAGAAAAAAGAAATTGAACTGACATAATAAAAAATTTTGCTCTTCCAAAGACATTATTGTTAGCCTTGCATGCCTGCAATCACGGCTATAAATGGGTAAAGGTGTAGCATGTATCAGCTATCTAAAATATGATACAGTGAGAAGAAGCAGGGCAAGGGTAGAAGGAATAGTAATTCTTTATAATTATTCAAGTTTGCTCAGACAAGGTCTGACGTAGCAAGTCAGGATATAGTAGAATATAGTAAAGGAAATACAAATGGGATTTGTCAATCATTAAGACAGTCTGTTTTTCCTTAACATCAAGAAACTTCCTGGAACTGGGCATGTAGCTCCATGGCGGAGCACATACTCAGCATTCATGAGGCCCTGGGTTTAATATCCAACTCCTGCTTGTCCTTCCCTCACCCCCAAAAACAGAAAGAAAAAGAAACTTTCCAAACACTCTCCAGCTTTGCATGTACTCAGTGAGGCAGTGATTACAACCTCTTCTCTTGCCAATAGACACAAAGACAAAGCTAGGCATGGTGAAATAACTTCTCCATCAGTTTATGTCTTGAAACATCTTACTCAAAATGGAGAAAGTAGCACTAAACCTTAAAAAAAAATTCTATATGGCCATACATCAATCTAAGTAGGAAAGGAGAGTGGAAATATTTAGTCTTAGACGAAGAGACACAAATAATACTGGGAAGGAATTATCAAAGATGCCAGAGTCCAAAGGTACGGATACTTTCTAAAAGACCCAAGAGTGTGTGGTATACTTCTTTAAACACTAGCACAAACTTGAACTACACCAATAGAAATGTAACAGTAATAGAAACAAACTTCCATTGCATACTGTGCTGATCAGAAGCAATCTACAGGAGATTTCTGTGTTTTATACACCATGTTTTAGCAAGGAGTTTAGGAACCCTTATTTACAGCTGGTTGGTCAGAAGCAGAGGTAAACCAACCTGGGAGTGATGACTGGCTCTTAAAGGGGGAAGGGGCAGTCTTGAGGACTGAGTCTCCAACCTGCGGGATCTGATGCCACCTCACAGTGGTGTCAGAACTGAATTAAATGAAAGGACACTCCTAGTATCTACAGCAAAACTGACTACTTACTTGGTGTGTGGCAGACCCCAGACCTCTGGTGTCAGAGTGATGTGTTGTATTGGAGGAGAAACTGAGTCTGAGCTGGAGTTGGTTTTCCTTATCTACAGACTAGACTACAGCCACGACAGAACAACTCATGGAGCCTCAGAGCACATATCCTGTGACTCAATATAGAAAGTCAAATGTAGTCCCCAGAGGTATGGACGTGTAAAAAGAAAGTTGTAGAAAGAAAATACACAACTCTGATTTCTATTTAATTTTATCTTACAAGAGGAAAATATTAAGCTTAACCATTTCTTAATATATGGATAGACAATGACAGATTTATTTGATACAAAATTGATACATATGCTGGGAAGTATGTATATATTGGGGTTCTAACCAAAATTTATTTTCTTGATAGGGTTGCATAGTCAAGAAACAAAGCAAAACAAAAAACAGAGAACATTGGGCTGGGGAATGGAAGCAAAGGAAAAAGAAACCTAAACCAATTGAGTGAGGTTCCACAGTAGATTCCTTTTAATCTTAGGAGCTATTCTTGTGGAAGAAGAAATATTCTACTTATTCAGAAATATAATAAGCAGCTACACATTACAGACAGTACCCCTAATATAAGAATTTTCTAGTGACTAAAACCAAGGAATAAATTGCCTTGGGAAATAATTTGTTTCTTATTCTTCATGTGATCAAAACCAAAAAAAGGGGAGGGGGGTTGTATTTCTATGTAATTGTTGTAGAAGAGATATGTGATTATATAAGAAGGCCAAGCTAGAAAACTTCTAAAGTTGCTTCTTACATACAAATAATTATGATTACATGAAACATGTATGAATATTGTTTAATAAGTGATTTAATCCAGCTGGGCATTATGGCTCACACTTGTAATCCCATATACTTGGGAAGCAGAGAGAGGAAGATCTTGGCTGGAGGCCATCCCTGTCAAAAAGTTAGCAAGATTCTATCTCAGAGAACAAGCCAGGATTGGTAATGCACACCTGTAAACACAGCTATGTGGGAGGCAGTTAGGAGGACTCAGTTTGAGGCTGGCCCCAAGCAAAAGTGAGACCCTATCAGACAAATAACTAAACTGGAAAGGAAACAAATGGGGGACCTGGGGGTGTGGCTTGTGGTTGCCTAGCAAGCTTAAGACCCTGAGTTGAAACCCTAGTACTGCTTAAAAAAAAAAAAAAAAGGAAAGAAAAACAAAAGAAAAGAATTTTCAACTGGGTTTTGTCCCTGTGGAGGAGATTCTAAATCTTGGAATTACCCAAGCTACAGGAATGTCCTTATTTGCCCACAGCTAGCCTTAGGCTGGGGCTGGCCATGCCAAAAGAACAACCCTACGATTGAGCCATGTGTATCAGCCCAGCCTCCCAATGGCCAAGGAAAAGAAAGGACTAGCGACTGAGAACAGTCTTGCTGGGGACAATCAATCATGCCTACATAGAAACTCCCATTACAAACTCTGGACACCACTACTGTGCTGGGAAGGTGACATGGCCTGTTTCCACTGGGGAACCAGAATACAGAAACTCTGTATTCAGACTCCCACCCAGACCTAGCCCTAAGTATCTCCGCATTTGGCTAGTCCTAAGTGATATCCTTCACAATAAAATTATAATCATAAATGGAGTGCTTTCTTGAGTTCTGTGTATCATTCCAGGGGATTATCAAACTGGAGGGGATCCAGGGAACCCCCAAATTTATAGCCAGTTGGTCATAAGTACTGGTGGCCTGGGGAACCTCTAAACTTATGGCTGGGATCTTATGTTGGGCAGTCATCTGGAGAATTGACTCCTAACTTGTGGGGTCTGTGTTAACTCCAGTAGTTAGTTCTAGAACTGATTAGTAGTATATGAGCTGGTGGTAAGCCAGTGAGGACTGAAACAGAGTAAGTATATTTAATATACTTACACTAAACATATTTATCTTAAACTTTATATTGAATACAGGTGTTCATTTTCTCATAATGCTAAAATAGACAATTTGTGTATGTAAAGTTGTACATTTCAGAAGGTAAACTCTTTACCAGAGAACAAATACTAAAGGTTGGTATTTGATATATACTGATACTCTGAATATATTGCGACTATTTTGCATAATGGGGGGAGATAATAATCCTTCTGTCATTTACTACAAAGTGATTTTATAACAAAAGAGATAGAGAAGAACAAAGAGGAAACTGATATAACACTTGTAACAAAATAATTCTGCTAAATTAATTACATAGAAATACATCTTATTCTTTGTTGCTATAGACTGCAACAATGTAATATGTTAATCATTACCTGCTTTGTAAAAATCACATCAACTAAAAGCAAAATCTAAGGTTTAATATTTAACTTTAATTAATGATAAATAAAGCAAGAAACACATAAGCAGATTGTACCTACCATAAATAGTCAAAATAATATTATCATCTTAGATAAGTGATTAAAATTCATGAGTAGGCCCTGTAAACGTAAACTTTAGACTAACTTCAGTGCAGTTTTTTTAACATGTAAATATATTTTTCAGATTTCACATATAAAGCAATAAAATTAACTTCATGGCAACATTCTGTATTATCAGCATACTTAACTGCTTACCTGGTTTAACAGCTCTCCCACATAGCTGGGGTTGTAGAAGAACTTGTAACATGGCAGGATTGTTTAAACTTTTCATAATTTGTACTGGATTTGGCTCTGGAAGTAATCCCTTTTGATTACTCTGCATCTTCCATGAATATGGAGATAAACATTAGAACAAGCATAAACACAAATTCTTGAGATTCTCATCATGTAAGATCTATTATCTGATAGACACAACTTACTTTATATTATAAATTTGTTGTATACTTTCTAGACATCTTTTCATATATGTTACAAGTTCTCTTTATATATATATATATATAACATCCTCATAGAAAGTCTCAGTTAAATACCAACTGGCTTGAGGAGGACTAAGATTTAGAACAAATCTCTTCCTAAGATACATATAAGTAGATGACAAGGGAATCTGAATTTGCTAACAAGGGCATGATTTGTTGACATGTAATGAGTACTTCGATGTTATAGAAGAGCCTTCTCATGTGCTTAGTCTAAAGTTGCCTTGCAAATAAAAATGTTCTTATATTAAAACTCTGTATTTCATTAACTTAAGTCTCTAGCACAAGATAAGATGAACTAGCTTTGCATATATGTAATCAGATAGCTCTCTGAAAATAGGAAGTTGTTTTCAGTTTTAAAAACTGTCTAATATATGAGAATGTTAGTATGATAACATAAAAGAGAAACTATAAACTTCTAGTCATAAGAAAGCGCAGGACTGACAGGACTACTGGCTCCCTCTCCCAATGCAGATGTTGTGAAGTTGAGAGGGCAAAGAAGAGGATCTGAATCTCTGACATAACGCCTGTGAGAAAACCCTGGAGAGATGGGAGGCATGGAGGTGAACTTCACCAGAGAGCAGGAGAGCCTGAGTCCACACATAGTAACTCAAGGAAGGGCTTTTGAGTTGCAGGACTGTGTTACTTCTTCTACATTGCCTGAAGAGGAGCATGGCTCTCCAGGCCAGTAAAGAAAGGCAGGAAAAGAGCATCACTGCCCAGTGACACCACAGGACTAATGAATTAATAGCAGGGTGGCACGCAAGCCCACAGACAGTGGGGACCAGGACAGTGCTGGTCAGTGAACTCTCCTTCCAATTCCCCAGGTATCTCAGTTCCTCCCTCCCACACCCACTGCAGGGCAGAAGAGTCACAGCTGAGGAGGCAGAGCTTGGGAAGAGCAGGCTGGGAGTGCAGGTGTAGAGCCTCTCTGAGCACAGGTTTGCCTGGCTGGGGTGGCAAAAGGGTTTGCTCAAGCCTGGATAGTGAAAGAAGAGTTTATCTGCTTTGAGGTCCTAGCCTGCCTTCCCTAAACCCCAATCTAAGAGGAGGCTTTATCTCCTTCATCCATTCCTTTCACTTTTTTTGGGTGGGGGGGTGGTTTAACCCAGGTCCTTGAGCAGCACATGCTCTACCACTGAGCCACACCCCAGCCTGCCCACCAAACCCTGAATGCTGACATGCTAAGAAGCTGATTCCCACCTCTGGGGAAATAAGCATTCATAGAAAACAACACCTAGACATCTGGAGAACAGAACCACTCAAAAATAAAGGCAACCAACTAGGCTGCCTGTAAGACAGAAAGCAGCATTGATGGGTAAGAAATAGTAAGAAGGTCAAATAAACAACATAGCCTTAAAAGCAGAGAGTGGATTTTTACTAGGAATATGAAGCAAGGACAGTTATTAAGTTATCACCAGTGAGAAATACAGAGCATGAAAAATGTTAATGTTGAGAAAAATGAAACTGGCCCTCACTAATGATAGACCTGTTATCATTCTGGCACATTATGCGGATTAGAGCATTTAATCCTCAAAAAGTCTATGCATTGGTGTTATTATCCCCATCTTGTACATAAGAAAGTGAAGAAACTCATAATCTTCTTCTTAATCTCTATTTTATGCTTTAACAGACAGATTAAACAAAATATATGATTTTTAACAGATAGGTTAAACAAAATATATGATTAAAAACAAAACAGGTATCTAAAAGATCAGGTTAAAGAAATGGAAAATACAAGCAAAAGCAAGGTGATGATGAGGACAGAGGTCAAGTGTCAACACCTATATTAAAGGGGTCCCTGAAGGAGAAGAATATATGAAGAGAATCTTTAAAGATATAATGACTGAGATTTCTCCATTACTAGAAAAATTAAAAGCCACAGAACATAAATGTTCAATGTCCAAATATGATGTCTTTAAAAAAAAATAACCCCACAGCTAGTCACATGTTTTGAAATGAAATGTATAAACACAAAAGGTGGGAAGGTGGCAGGGGAGGGGGTCCTGTTGAAAGCTTGCACTGAGAAAGAACAGATCTCTAAAGGAACAAGAAAAGAGATTAACATCAATTTCTTTCTCAAAGTACCAACACTAGATTAAGGAATGCTGGACTAGTATTTTCAAAATGTTACAGGAAAAAATATCTCTGAACCTAGATTTTTAAATTCAGCTAAGCTAGTATCAGAAAAAAAATAAAATGTTCTTAGCTGTACAAGTTCTCAAAAGTTTTAATCACATGAATACCCTCTTCCAAAATGCCCTGGGAAGAAGTATTCCAATGAGAAAATAAATAAATACAAGACAATACTGCCTGGTATGGAAACTAATCTTGTATGTATATCATAATTCTAATCTTGTTTACAAAATCTAGGTACATAAAACAACAGAATAATATTTATGGCAGTTCTTAAGTAAAAATGTAGATACCAATATGGTGGTAGGTAGGGTAGGAAGGAGGAAACGGGATACAGATAAGAATGACTGAAGTGGGGAAACAGAGGCACTGGTAAGACTAGGGGTGTTACTAAGTTAGGGGCAACAAGCAGCAGGATGAAGATAAAATGTGTCACCATAAGATCAGAAGAAAACTCTTGTTGACCCAATAGTAGAAATGCATGGTGGCTCACAAATGTAATCTTATCTACTTGGGAGGCGGAGATCTGGAGAATCATGGTTTGACACTAGCCTAGGGAATAGTTTGAGAGACCTCATCTTAACTGATGGCTGGACACACCTGACATCCCAGCTATGCAGGAAGCATAAACAGGAGAATCATAATCCAGGCTGGCTTGGATAAAAAAACATGAGAAATCCTATCTGGAAAAATAACTAAAGCAAAAAAAAGGCTGGGAGCATGACTCAAGTGCTGGAGCACCTGCCTAGAAATCAAACATGAGGCCTTGAGTTCAACCCCAGTACCATCAAAAAAAAGAAAAAGAATAGCTTTTATTTTTACTTTTTTTGTTGTTGGTATTGAGGTTTGAACTCAGGCTTTGAACTTGCTAAGCAGGTATTTTACCACTTCAGCCATATTTCCAACCAAGAACAGCTTTTAAAAATTCATAAGTTTTGCTATAATCTAAAATATCTATAAATTAAGCTTTGAGCTTAAAAGGGAAACATAACAAAAACTGCAACATTCATAATTTAAAATTTATGACATGTAACTATAGGATTAGTTACAAGGAAACTTAAATGCATTTAACAGAAAATAATCAAGATTGAAAAACAAGAGTTAATTAAGCACTGACATCAATAAAGATGTGAAAAAGTAATTTTGTCCCCTCACCAAAAAAACCTGAAAAAAAAAATCCAAAGAAGAAAGAAATAAGACTGTAAAGACAAAGACAGAAATAATCAAAGGAAGAAAATTAGAAATGATAACACAAAAGTTGTTACTCTGAAAGAACAAAATAGATCTATCCTTCATAAGGCTAATGAAAGGCAAAAAAGAAAATGCAAATTAATAAGATATAGAATGAAAACAAGGAAACTAGATGTGAAACTTCAAAATGATAGAAAGTTTACAAATATGTGCTAATAAAGTGGTGAAAACTTAGATATAATGGCTAAATTTGTATAACATAACCAAATGTCAAATATGATACAGAAAAAAAAAATACTTACCTATCCAAGGGTGAAACTTTATGTGGTAATCAATGATTTTCCTTTGGAATGGGAACAAGGATTAGACCCACATGGCTTTACAGATAGAACTCTCAAATTTTCCAAGGACAACCTCTATTTTATAAAAGGAGGGGGATGAAAAATATTGACTACGAGGTCAGTGTTATCTTAATTATCGAATCAACAGTGCATTGGAAAAAAAGCCATTAACAATTAGGGTTACAACCAAAGGGTTAGTTTACATGAAAAAAATCTATCAGTGTGATTTACCACATTTAAGGGAAATGTGAGGGAAAATGAGCTCATGAGTCTAGTACCAAGACACTGACGAGGTCTGGAGGATTTGTGATGTTAAAGGTAGAATTGAAAGGATGTGGTAATATTCCCAACATCTAGATTTAGGATCATAATTAACAAAGTTTTAATTTGAACACAGAAAAACAAAAGAGTAATAGAGGGGGGCATATATTATATGCATATATGGAAACATCACAATGAAACCCCTTCGCACAATTAATAGATGCTAATAATTAAAAAGACTAAATTATCATAAGAAAAAGAACACAGAAAAGCAAGTCCTGGAGAAAAATAATTTTCTTTTGAAATGCTGAAACTAAAATATTTATTTAACATGAAGGTAGGATGACTATCCTCATCAATCATTGGAGCACACGTTGAATAAATGAATAAATAAAAACAAAATTTTAAAAGATCATTGGAAATACAGATTTATTGCTTAAAGAAGTCTAATCAAAAATATATGCTTGTCCAAGTTATGGAAACAGCCAAGATGCCCCAGCACAGACGAATGGATTAAGAAAATGTGGTATCTATACACAATGGAATTCTATGCAGCCATGAAGAAGAACGAAATGTTATTATTCGCTGGTAAATGGATGGAACTGGAGAACATCATTCTGAGTGAGGTTAGCCTGGCCCAAAAGACCAAACATCGTATGTTCTCCCTCATATGTGGACATTAGATCAAGGGCAAACACAACAAGGGGATTGGACTATGAGCACATGATAAAAGCGAGGGCACACAAGGGAAGGGTGAGGATAGGTAAGACACCTAAAAAACTAGCTAGCATTTGTTGCCCTTAATGCAGAGAAACTAAAGCAGATACCTTAAAGCAACTGAGGCCAATAGGAAAAGGGGAACAGGTACTAGAGAAAAGGTTAGATCAAAAAGAATTAACCTAGAAGGTAACACCCATGCACAGGAAATCAATGTGAGTCAATGCCCTGTATAGCTATCCTTATCTCAACCAGCAAAACCCCTTGTTCCTTCCTATTATTGCTTATACTCTCTCTACAACAAAATTAGAGATAAGGGCAAAATAGTTTCTGCTGGGTATTGAGGGGGGGGAGCGGGAGGGGGTGGAGTGGGTGGTAAGGGAGGGGGTGGGGGCAGGGGGGAGAAATGAACCAAGCCTTGTATGCACATATGAATAATAAAAGAAAAATGAAAAAAAAATATGCTTGTAAGTTATCATGAATAGGTAAAAATCAAAGTAACTGGAGTGTATTAGAGGAAGAAGGTGAGGAGGTCAAATACAAATATCTACTAATACCAGCCTTTAGGGAAAAAAAAACAGTAAGTTAGGGAAGGAACAGCTAGATGGGCAGGAAAAAGAATGGCAGAATTCATGGTAGGAGAAGGTATTTAGTTTTGGTTTAGCTTGGATTTTGGTTTTTCAGACAGGGTCTCACTATTGGCCAAGGCTGCCCTGGAACTCACCATGTAGCCAAGGCTAATCTTGAACTGCTGATCCTCCCATCTCTGCTTCCTGAGTGCTAGAATTGCAGGCATGCACTACCACACCTGAAGAATTTTAAGTGCTGCAGGTATCAAGTACTAAAAGACTAAAGAGTACCCAATGAATCTGGATATTAAGAAATATCCGTTAGTTTTCATGAGAGCATATTCCATTGAACAGGGGAGGAAGAAGCCGTAGTGCATTAGGCTAAGAGGGAAATGGGAGATTTAGAAATGGTGACGATGAATGAGGCCTGATTATTTGAGAAAATCTGGTTGTACAGTTGTAAAATCCAGTACCTAGAGAGGGTTTTCTTAAATCAAAGACTTGAGGAGTTTATAACAGATGGGATGGAGCTAGTGAGTAGGGAAGTCATGATCAAGAGCCCTGAGGATGCACGGCATTCACCAGCCCCTCTAGCAGAAGGCATAGCGGTACGAAGAAACTGCTTTTGCTCAGAAGCACTGACCTTACTTGAGCCTTACTGAAAGCAGGAGAAAAGCCTGGCATGTCTGCCTCCAATTTACATCTGTCTCTTTTACTCTCCTGCAGACACTATGGGTTCTAGGAACAAAAGGACTGATTAATAGCATCTTTGCCATAAGGCAAAGTCCATAAGGGACTGAAACTACCCTCAAGAACAGAAACAGCAGGCCTCACAGGACAAACCACTCCCCAAATGAGGACGATTACCTATAACCCGCACCCTTGAAGCAGGAGTAATCATCTCATGGGAACCAGATTGCTCCTCCAAGTGATAACGGGAACCAGAACTCAGATAATAATTAGCCAAGCCACACTTTGCCCAAGACTGCTTAATTATGCATACTTCTTTCCTCTTACCCTAATTCTTCCTCTATTCAAACCTAAAGCTCACGTCTATACCCCAAAGATGAGCTGAAATGCTCACTTTGCCTCTTCCCATGGTGTGCCTGTGCCACACTAGTAAATCTTTCTCTGCCCTTCACCATTACTTAACTCTTTATTTGGTGTATTGGGGAAAGTGGCTGAATCTGAAATGCTGGAACCCCCAGAGTCAGGGCTCTGGCCTGGGACTCTGGTTACAGAGGCGTGGCTCTTCCTTCAAGAAAGCAATCTCTATTGAACATTGACAAATGCTGAACATCTCTGACCATGCATGTAGTGGGTGGGCACCAAATAAGTGGAATGAATCAGAGAAGGAAGCCAGCAATGAGAAAAGTTGAATGAATGAATACAACACATGGCCTTCATATTTCTATAAAGTAAGAACCATAATCATCTGATTGAAAGGACAAAAGCAGGAAGGGGTGCAGGTTTAGACAGCTGCTATAGAAAATGAAAAAGAACTGATGAGATACAAGCTGAAGATCTGCTGGGGGCTGGTTATGACCATATGCCATTCATTTGTGGTGGCATCAGGCCCTCCAGTTGTTTGTTTATCTCTATGAGAACACAGTGCCATGACTTAAGAAGTAAGTGAATGGATAGATTCAGAATTTTAAACTCAGCAATCTAAGAAAGAGACAATTTAATCAGAGGAAATGAAGTTGGTAGTGAACAACTGGTTAAAGTGGTGAATTATGCAAGCAAGAATACAGTAATGACAAAAGAACCCACAAGGAGACAGCTAAGAAAAAAGAAAGAAAGGCTATAGAAAGAAAGGATATGGGGCCAGAGGGGGAAATCACAGAAGGTGGGTGGGAGATGGGAGGGGGAGAACTAAGAGCAGTCTCCTGCCTGTTTCTCTCCAGCTCATCTACAAACCACTCTCAGACTAATCTCTCCATGGCTTGATTCTGATCCTATCACCACCTTGTTTATATATTTTATAAGTTGCCCATTGCTTATCAATTCAACCTAAGTTCTTCGAGTACTCCACAGTCTTCCCTGCTTTGATGTCAACATACCACCTCACCATATCTCTCTTTTCTTGGCGTTTTTTTTTTTTTTGGCAGTACTGAAGTTTAAACTCAGGACTTCATACTGGCTAGGCAGGTCACTTGAGCCACGCCCCCAAACCCATACCTCTCTTTATATACACAGTGGAACCTGATCACTAACCACTTTCCGAGCATAATAACCCATCTCAACTGCTTGGATGGTTTGTTTCACCTAGAGTGACTACTCACTCTCCCTCCTTAGGGTTGCTAGATTTAGCAAGTAAAAATACAGGATGTTCAGTTAAACTTGGAGTTCTGATAAACAATGAATAATTTTTTTTAACACCAGAATGTCTCACGCAAAATCTGTATTTACTTGGCAATCTGATCCTCCACCCACCTCAACACATGTCAGTATCTCATCCATTCTTTAATGTCACACTCGAATGTCACGTCTATCATGAAGTCTCCCCACTTCTTTCAAAAGTGCATTCCTTCCTCCATTGAATCAACAAATATTTGCTATGCTGAGAGCTGAGGCAAAGACTGTGAAGAAGACATCACACTATCCTAAGGAGTTTCCAGGCTAGTAGGGAGGGGAGTAAGTTAACAATTACAATAAAGAGGAAGTATGATGTGAGCAAAAGGGAGGCATGAGTACTTAGGAAAACTTCCTAAAAAGAGGCATGTGACACTCAAAACTGACAGCAAACAGCAAACTCGAATATTCACTGAACAAGTGAAACTCCTTCAAAAAATTTCTCAAGATGAATACACTTCACTAACCATTTCTTTTTTGGTAACAACTTCTGGCTTGATTTTACAAAGATACCATTTAGCCAACTTAATAAAAAAGATGAATGTCTTCAACTCAATCGTTTGATGAGTGATTGGTCACTTTGGATAGACTAAGGTAGTATTAGAATTTTCTGTAACCTAAAAAAAAAAAAAAAACCCACTTACCACATGTTGAGCAGCTATCAGTGCTGCTAACGTACTTCGCCCTGGCGCTCCAGGGGCACAGAAGGACACCTGGACTTTGCTCCCCCGGATGCTCGTGCCGTCTACCATTTGCTGAACCTCCTCTGCATGCTCGGCAGTGCTATATTCAACCACTGCAAAGCCACTGACATAACTACCTTCATCCTGTGCGAGCTGACATCACACATTTAATTAAAAGGAAATTCAGAAGTTGCCTTAGAAACACTTGTTTACAATAAGTAACCCCCCAAATTCAAGAACAAGTACACCAGAGCCTGGTACTAGTGACAATAATATATTCTTTCTCCATGAAAACGAAAGTTTACGGTTGCTTAGATGCAGTCCTTCCTGAAGACAGGAAGATAGACAAGGGTCTGTTGAGTGTCATTCCACTTTTTTATTTTCTAATAGTCAATGACCAAATGATAATAGTCCTCTACATATTAAGAACTATATACAATTGGTAATTTACAAGAAACTATGTGGACACAATAATTAAAACTTTCATTAAAATGAAATTCACTGGCTCTGCAGACAATGAAACAAAACAATTATTGGACCCCCATCAATGTAAAATTAAGTTAGTATTGTCAAGAGGAGGAACCACATTCAACTTGCATTTCAATATTTTAGGCAGATCCCAGAAATCTGGCCAAATATACCAAAAGAAGCCTTGTTTATGAAAATTGCGCCTCAGGTTTGTTAAAATACCACATATAACACACAAGCTTTATTTTTGAGGGTGACCAAACAGAACTCTAGCTATTTCCAGTCACCCACCTGTAAGAGTATAAAGGAAGACACTAAAGTCCTGGATCTGTAAAGACTGTCACAAAGAACAAAAATAAGAACAACATACGACACTGCGTTTCCAAGTTTTGAGCATGTCTGGATTATCTTAAATACATTTATGCTGCAAAGTCATAAGCACAACAAAATTCAGCTTGGTGTGTCTTTGAGAAGACATAGCTCCTCTATTTGGGCTTGGTATCACATATGCTGATGTGACAAAAAATTATTTCTTAGTCCTCTTCCTTTTCTTTTTAAAATTTAACTTTCTTCTACTTTCCTGGTATACTTGGACCAAATTTCCACTTTTTCCTTCATGTTCTTTACTCCTTTTTAAACTATCACTTGTCTTTTTCTCCACAAAACCTTTTTCCAACCAAATAAGGAAAAGGAAAATACCTACCTCTTCCACACATTTCTCTAACAACTCTATTCCTCTCACAATCCAAATCAGATCTTCAAGTCTGATCTGTAAAAGCCATCAATCCCTTTGGTCTCCTGACAGCAAGAGGCTGTCTTCAATACAGTCGGTGCTACTGACCATGCAAAAAAGTCTGAATTTAACAGACTCACTGACAAGGAACAGTCCTAATATATTGAAACTTTATAAAAATATTATTTATAATTACTGTTTGGTTATGATGACCTTCATTCCCATATAAATTATAGTATTGTATTTCAAAAGATAAAATCACTTTAAATCCACAGTATCAGTAGTTTTAGAGAAGAATATTTCAGTCCAATATGAGAGCCATATAAAGATACAATGGTTTGACTTCTGAGTGAGTTAATTTTCCATTACTTTAAAGTATTTTAGCAGAAGTTAAATGGTCACTCAAAAATACTGTACCAAGGACTGGAGCTGTGTCTCAAGCAGTAGAGCACCTGCCCAAACAAGCATGGAGCCCTGAATTCAAACCCCAGTACTTCCAAAATAATAATAATAAAAAACCCTATCATAATTTCTATCAGTGTAAAGCTACACTAGATAATGATAAGGTCCCTTCTACCTTTTGGATTCATATTCAAATACAATACACAACAAATGGCTTTTTCTTTCACATTTGCTCCAAAAGCCTCAATTAAAACTAAAAACAATTATGTATGGCCACAAGATGATATTACTCTATAATTCTCAGTTTCAAGAACAGCATATCAACAAGCCAGTCAGCTTTCAATACCTGGGCAAAGATCTTCCACAAAGTATTTTAATTTTATATAACTCCTGCAGAAGTAAGATGGTAACATTAATCTTAAATATACGTATTACTGTATAATCTCACTCCTATATGGAACCTAAAAAGTTGATCTCCTAGAAGTAGAGCACACAATGTTGGTTACCAGTGGCTGGGATAGTTTCCCTAGCATGAGGGTTTGAAGAGATGTTGGTTAAAGGATATAAAATTTCAATTTTAAATAAAAAGAATAAGTTCAACAGATTATACAACATGGTTGACTATAGTTAATAATATATTCTTGAAAAATGCTAGGAGAGTGAACGGTAAGTGTTCTCATCACAAAGCAATAACTATGTGAAGTAATTGCATATCCTTAATTCACTAGACTTAGTCATTCCACATCTACATACTTTAAAATTTCATGCTGTATATAATAAATAGATATAATTTTATCTGTTGATTTAAATACATACATACATAGATATTCTAGCATCTCTATTGCAATAGTAGGAATTTAAGATGTATATGATCAAAGAAAAGAAGGGAGGAAGGAAGGGATAAAGAGAGGGAGCATGGAAGGGGAGGGAGAGTGGTAAAAGACAAGAGAAGGAAGAAATGAAGACAAACTACAGAAAGAACTGATAGTTGCTATCAAAAATCTTCTGTAAGGGAAGGAGTTCTATAGTTATATATGGTATACTATGTCTGTTTATTGGGATCAATTCAATTTTACTATGATAAAGTGCTTCAGAATTCTTACCAGTGATGTCAGTTTTCAGGATCTTCTCTAAATGTCTCACCACCATGACCCCATCCAGCCAGAAGCAGTCATTCTTTTTCAACTGTATAATGCTTTCCTAACCTCTATTATATCACTCTTCATACAAGATTTGCAATTTTTTCTAACTTGTTGTTCTCCTCTACAAAACTTTGAGATACTGAGATACAGTATCCTTCTATTCTCTGCATTTCCGATGCAGCATAGCACTGGTCTGACACAGACAAGGTAGAAAAAGACTTGGCTAGACAAATGAGGGAAAGGCGGGATGAACGGCTGGAATGGGAGGGAATGAGTCAAAACTGATTTGCTCAGACACACTTCATGACATACCTACTGTTTGGCCATCAACAGAAGGTAGTGATTTAAAATTTCTCGTGAGATTAAATTCTTCATTACAGACCAGAGAAGAATCAAATTGCCCCTTGTGATATTCACATAGTATGATAAATAAACTTTTAAGTTCACATAGAATAGGTATCTATGCAGATATTTTTTAAATATTTCTAATGACATCTTATAAATACATACCTGGCAAAACACGGGTTTATGGATACTGGAAAACAATTGCACAAGCTCTTCTGAATCCCTGTAGTCAGTAGGGAGTTTATCTATACAAAGGCACTTAGAATGAATGAGCTCTGAGGCCAACAGATTAACATCCATCCATTGTGCAAAGAGTGCTGATGCTCCCAACTGTTTCCCCAATAGTTCCAATCTAGCCTTTGCTGCAAAGTCCTTTTTCATGTATTCCACAAATCCATAGCCTTTGGAATGGCCTGTAACTTCACTGTAAACCAGAAAACATCGCTCGATATTTCCATAAGCACGAACAAGTTCTTCAAACTCTTCTAATGTAAAGGAAATGGGCAGGTTGGTGATGCACAGCAAAGCATCTGTGGGTTGGAGCTGGACTATTAAGTCTTTGCCTCGAAACGAATATTGATGAAACATCTGAATTGCATTTTGGGCTTGTTCCCCATTCAGTAAGGTAACAAAAGCTGGAAGATAAAAAAAATGAACTGAAGACTTCCATACCAGTGTTTTTCTTTTTTTTTTACTGTGACCCATAATAGAAAAACATTTTATGCCTGTAACTCAAATGTCTACACACACATAAACATTTTTGAAACAAAATGAATTTGTAGTCCTGTAATGTGTAATACATTCTATTTTACTATTTTCTTTTAAATTCTAAGCTTTCACCTAACTAATTCATGGCCAGTTGCTCAAATAGAAAGTGTAGGAATGACATTAGGAGTTCCACTGTCTAATCCTACCATATTCTGGGGAGTAGGGGTTGGTGATCTTTTACAACACACAGATTTGAGTTTTTCTCCTAAAAACCTGTAAATATAAGATATAAAAATTTTATGAAGCTTTTATTAAAAACCCTCACTGAATAAAAATGAGGTTATAAAACCTCCCTTCTTCCCAGAGAATTCTAAAAGACTAATTTGATAGCAAGGACCTGAAAAAACAACGAAGGTACAGCAAAACGACACCAAAATGCCCAATAGGAGACCAGCTCTGTTGAGGTCCTGTATATATTTCTCAAAATCAGATTAGCTTGAAACAACCCACATTACATATACAATTCATCAGCCTTTTTTAAATGAATACTATGTAATGAAAAGATTGCATGATTCTGATCTTGGACAAGTAGTTTAATTTTAAATCCCAGTAACATAATAGAAACGTGTCTGCAATAAATTTCTTCCAGCATCAAGCAACAAGTAGATAATGCAGGCATTCAGTAGCATGATATGAGGCGGTGTGGTGATACACACCTATTCTCCCAGCACTCAGGAGACAGAGTTTGGAAGATCATGAGTCTGAGGCCAGCCTGGGGGTCAGAGAAGTCCCTGTCTCAAAACAAACAAACCCCATGATAAATAAAAGGTTCTAAGTCAATGAAATATCATACACGTTCATATCTATTAAAATTAAATTTTAAGCTTATATGGTATCTTTAAAAGAATATAAATATTTAAGTAGTTTTATAAGAAAATGTGAAAGCCCCCAATTAAAACAAATAATAAAAGGCAATCCATAAATTACTAGGAGTGCTCTAAAAGTTCCTCTCTCACTCTACTGAGAACATACAGGGGAGTTGCTACAAATTACATTAGAGCAACCCAAATTCCCTGAGCACAACCTGATAATGTGTTGTGTAGAGCCAATGCGTGTCGAGCTAGCAAAAAAGGAAGAGTTTAAATGCACGGGCAACTCTGCCTGTCGTTTCGCTAAATCTGCTCTTCCCTCAGTTGGTCTTAGCACCCATGTGGCTCTCAGACTGTGAACATCTCATCACACCAAGTGAAGATTTAAAGAAACACAGCTCTCATTTAACACATTCTCCAAATGCATGGAAACCATTGCCAAAGGAACAGCTAACTCTTCCAACACTAGAGAAAAAAATAGCTTTGCCATCCTTACTGAGAGAATATCCCTTGGTTTCCAACACCCTTTTATAAAGGCTTAAGTTATTTTGATTCTATCTTTTCTTTCCTTATGGTGACATAAAATGCCATTTAACACTATTTCTCTAAAAGATGAAAACAAGCCAACCAGCAGTTTGTAAATACTGCTTATGTTCCTCTATCAGCCTATAAAATCATCACTTCATGTATGATTTGACTTGTCAGGGAATTTGAAACCATGAAATCATTCCTTTTTTAAAGGATATCTTCTTATCTGAGTCTCTGAATACCTGGTTTGCATTCCTTCTTCCATCTCTTTTGTTACACCTTTCTCCTGTGCCTACACCTGTAAGGTGGTACTCCTTAGGGTCCTTCCGGGCAGATTCACACGTGACAATGCCTGTGTGCCTGTAGCTAGCAGCTCCCCCAAACCCTGCTGAATCCATCTTCCTCTCTCTCTCTCTATACCCTCTTTCCCTGGAACAGTCAAGTCTCTTCTCATTTATTCAGTACTCTGTGCCAGTTACTAGGTTAGGCACTGGCAAAGCATTACCAAACAAAACAGGTACGATCCCTTCCAACACAGAACTCATGTTTCAATAGGGACACAAGACATTTAAAAAATACTTGCAAATATGGTATATTAAAAGAGGAAGTAGGAAGACTAGGAAAGCAATTCAATATAGCAAAATAACCTAGTCTGGGGGCTCCAAGACCTCCCATACTCTCTCTAATAACTTTTAATCTATGCTTCAAATCTTCAGTTACATTTACATATGTATAAATGTATACATATATACACAAATACATACACTCATACTGATTTCCATCTGACTATGCAAATATAACTCATGATCTTCACCCTATCTTTGCCAGAAAGAAAGAAAGAGAGAATAGGGGAGAAGGAAGGGAGGGAAGATTTTAGTACTGCTCATCTCCCTTCATTCCTATTTTAGCTGGCAACAGTCACCAATCACAAACCTGGCAGCCACCCCAGTCCCTTTCTCCTTCATCTCCCACATGAAAAAACTTCTCAAATTCCACCCTGGAAGGTTGAATCCATCCTATTTTCTTCATTTCCCTAGCTTTTCCTCTTTTTAGTCCTTTTTCCATAATGACAAAAAAGTGATCTCTCATAAATAGAAGTTTGTGTCTGTTTACTGACCAAAATGCAAAGGCTTGGTATTAACAAAGACAAATCCCAGCTCAGGTTTCATGCCCTACAAGACACTTTATATGATCTGCTTCCAGCCTCATGAACTGTCATTCTTTATTCTCTACCACAGTTCTTTATTCTCTAACGGTACTGGAATATTTGCAGCTTCCTGTAAGTACCAGGTTGTTTCGGGCATCTATTCATTATACATGCAATTCCCCTGCCTATCATTCCCTCCAGCTATCATCAGCTATTTGGATGACCTTCAAATTCAGTACAGGGATGCGTGCATCATGACCTCCAGAAAGCTTTCACTGAGCCTCTCTTTTGGTGATCCTCACCACCCCTTGCTTTGTCATCTCTGTATTTTGAACATTGTTTGGATTATTGCATATATCAGGCAACATTGTAATTTGCTTGCTACCCTACACTGCAAGGTCCCTAAATCATCAATGAATTAGCATCAAGTACTTCCTCAGCTACCACAGTGCCAGGCACACAGTAAGAACTAGATGAAAGAATAAACGTATGTGCCCACACATCAACTAAGAACCTCAACAACTGGCAATCCTAGTTTTCCTTCCCTTGGCTATCTACATTTGCTCAACTCAAACCAGAGATTAAATGACAAAATTTAAATAGCATAGTGAAGCAAATTTAAAGGTTTAAGCAGTCAGAAAAGAGGTTACTTCCCCTCTAAAAGTCCTTCCATTTCTTTCTAATAAATTTTTCTCACTTTGGTTCTTGGAGAAGTGGCAGATATCACTTTAGAGAGGCAAGTTTGTAATGAAATTTAGGATTACTATTACTATTTCCTTATGAAATTAAAATATTTCACAACTGGTCCTAATCCTTGTACAAACTGTTGCTTGGTATATTAATACATTTATTATTAGGACAAATTTGATGAAAAGCATGCCAAAATTTTTTCTTGATGTATCCTATTTTAATATGATCATTTCTTATGTCTGCTATAGAAAGTTCTCATTGCAAGGTTATAGTAACTATCTTTTTTTTTAATTTTTATTTTATTCATATGTGCATACAATGTTTGGGTCATTTCTCCCCCCTTCCCCCCGCCCCTTCTCTCCCCCCTCCTTTACCCTTTGCTACCAGGCAGAAACTATTCTGTCCTTATCTCTAATTTTGTTGAAGAGAGTATAAGCAGCAATAATAGGAAGGACCAAGGGTTTTTGCTAGTTGAGATAAGGATAGCTATTCAGGGTGTTGAATCACATTGCTTTCCTGCACATGTGTGTTACCTTCTAAGTTAATTCTTCTTGATCTAACCTTTTCTCTAGTTCCTGATCCCCTTCTCCTATTGGCCTCAGTTGCTTTAAAGTATCTGCTTTAGTTTCTCTGCGTTGAGGGCAACAAATGTTATCTAGTTTTTTGGGTGTCTTACCTATCCTCATACCTTCCTTGTGTGCTCTCGCTTTATCATGATATAGTAACTATTTTTTATAAAAATACTTAATTATATGTTTCTACAGGTGCCACCATAGCTACTAGCTAAAAAAATCCAAGGCAACATCACTTAATGCAATGGACTAGTTCCCTTCTGTCATTGCAGTGGGTGACTTAGGGCTGACAGCATGCATCTTCAGCTTATCACAGTCTACTGTCAAGTGATAAGATACTTCTTCATGATTGGGATAGGAACTGTAGACGAGGTGGACTGTCATTTTCGTTCATTTATCTGTGTCAATTCTAGGTCAATTGTGACAGATTTTCTCCATATGATTAGTTGTATTTTCTTGCTTCTTTGCCAGGCCTGATATTTTGCTTTTGTTTTTATTTTTTGGCAGTACTAGGGTTTCAACTCAAGACTTTGTGCTTGCTGGGCAGGCTCTCTACTACTTGAGCTATGCCTCTATCCCGCTCCCATTTTTTTGCTTTAGTTCTTTCTCAGATTGAGTCTCATGTTTTTTCCCAGGTCATCTTCAGACCATGATCCTCCTGCCTATCCCTCCAGGGTAGCTGAGATTATAGTTACGCACCACCACACCCAGTCCATGTATGATAGGTTTTTTTACTGGATGCCACACGATGTGAGTTTTCTCTTGTTTGGGTGCTAGCTACTTTTGTATCTATAAAAATATTCTTCAATTTTGTTCTAGGATGTGATTAAGGTTCCAGGAAACAGTTTGATCTTTTCAGGTCTTGCTTTTAAGTTTCTTAGATAGGATAAGAAGCAATTTCTTCCACTACTGAAGCAAATCTTTCTGACTACTCCTCTTGCTGCTCCATGAATTATGAGGCTTACCATACTGGCTGGTGGGAAAAGCACTATTGCTGGTTCCGTGTGAGCTGGAAGTCTGCTATTCTAATCCCTTGGTCAACACCCAGTAACACTGAAATTGTGACCCAGTATTTCAATTGTGGAGAAGAAGTTTAGTAAAAACAGACATTACAACATAGTTTGAAATACTAGAAATGTTAAAAAACCCCTCCACACCTATTAGAAATGGCTACATCAATTTGAGAAATAAACATAAATGAATGATATGTAGCAGTATGAACTAATGAACTAAAGTCATATGTATCAACATGGAAAGATCAGGAAAACAATGTTGAGTTTCCAAAAAGAAGCTGCTAAATGAAACCCAGAATACCATTCTTATAAAGTTAAAAAACCATTGGGAACAATACCACTAATTGTGTATAAATATAATAAAATGACAGATATCAGTCAAGATACTGTGGTTAAGACAGCAGCCCACTATCTCAATGTCGTGCCCAGGGAGGTCTCCTTGCTGTTGGCGCTGCATGTCCCATGTGAGGCTAAGGCAGGATAGAGGCATTGCACCTTACAGCCATTCAGGGACCTGGGCTGAAAGAGGTTCTGGAACCTCCCCAACTGCTTCAGCAGGGGACAGGTAAGCAATGGATCATATGCTGGCTCTGACATTTTCCACCTAGAAGGTAATGCCTGCCATTTCCATTCTCAAAAAGCAGAATCACATGTCCACTCCAGGTAAGTGAAATACTATCTTACCTTATGCCCAGAAAGAGTAAGAATCTGTGAACAGCTCTACTGACTACACAACACAACCCACAGATTGAAAAGCTGGTACCAAATACACAGTGCTTGCCCTAAGGTAAGGAGGAAGAGGATGGACTCAGAGTAGTAGACTTTGGATTTCATCTTTATTTGTAACGCTTTTTACTGTTTTTTATTTTTAATTCATAGTCTACATTAGGGTTCTAGCATGCATATACTTACTTTTTTGGTGAGGGAGGAGGCAGTGGTAGGGATCAAACACAGAGTCTTATGCATGCTAGGCAAGTACTCTACCAGTGAGCTATATCCCTAGCCCTATAAATATTTTTTTTTGTTTTGTTTTTTAATTTTTATTTTATTATTCATATGTGCATACAATGCTTGAGTCATTTCTCCCCCCTGCCCCCACCCCCTCCCTTACCACCCACTTCGCCCCCTCCTTCTCCCCCCCCCCCCTCGATACCAGGCAGAAACTATTTTGCCCTTATCTCTACTTTTGTTGAAGAGAGAGTATAAGCAATAATAGGAAGGAACAAGGGTTTTTGCTAGTTGAGATAAGGATAGCTATACAGGGAGTTGACTCACATTAATTTCCGGTCGTGTGTGTTACCTTCTAGGTTAATTCTTTTTGATCTAACCTTTTCTCTAGTTCCTGGTCCCCTTCTCCTATTGGCCTCAGTTGCTTTTAAGATATCTGCTTTAGTTTCTCTGCGTTGAGGGCCACAAATGCTAGCTAATTTTTTAGGTGTCTTCTCTATCCTCACCCCTCCCTTGTGTGCTCTCGCTTTTATCATGTGCCCAAAGTCCAATCCCATTGTTGTGTTTGCCCTTGATCTAATGTCCACATATGAGGGAGAACATACGATTTTGGTCTTTTGGGCCAGGCTAACCTCACTCAGAATGATGTTCTCCAATTCCATCCATTTACCAGCAAATGATAACATTTCATTCTTCTTCATGGCTGCATGAAATTCCATTGTGTATAGATACCACATTTTCTTAATCCATTCGTCAGTGGTGGGGCATCTTGGCTGTTTCCATAACTTGGCTATTGTGAATAGTGCCACAATAAACATGGGTGTGCAGGTGCCTCTGGAGTAACCTGTGTCACAGTCTTTTGGGTATATCCCCAAGAGTGGTATTGCTGGATCAAATGGTAGATCAATGTTTAGCTTTTTAAGTAGCCTCCAAATTTTTTTCCAGAGTGGTTGTACTAGTTTACATTCCCACCAACAGTGTAAGAGGGTTCCTTTTCCCCATCCTCGCCAACACCTGTTGTTGGTGGTGTTGCTAATGATGGCTATTCTAACAGGGGTGAGGTGGAATCTTAGTGTGGTTTTAATTTGCATTTCCTTTATTGCTAGAGATGGTGAGCATTTTTTCATGTGTTTTTTGGCCATTTGAATTTCTCCTTTTGAGAAAGTTCTGTTTAGTTCACTTGCCCATTTCTTTATTGGTTCATTAGTTTTGGGAGAATTTAGTTTTTTAAGTTCCCTATATATTCTGGTTATCAGTCCTTTGTCTGATGTGTAGCTGGCAAATATTTTCTCCCACTCTGTGGGTGTTCATTTCAGTTTAGAGACCATTTCTTTTGATGAGCAGAAGCTTTTTAGTTTTATGAAGTCCCATTTATCTATGCTATCTCTTAGTTGCTGTGCTGCTGGGGTTCTGTTGAGAAAGTTCTTACCTATACCTACTAACTCCAGAGTATTTCCTACTCTTTCCTGTATCAACTTTAGAGTTTGTGGTCTGATATTAAGATCCTTGATCCATTTTGAGTTAATCTTGGTATAGGGTGATATACATGGATCTAGTTTCAGTTTTTTGCAGACTGCTAACCAGTTTTCCCAAAAGTTTTTGTTGAAGAGGCTGCTTTTTCTCCATCCTGTATTTTTAGCACCTTTGTCAAAGACAAGTTGGTTATAGTTGTGTAGCTTCATATCTGGGTCCTCTATTCTGTTCCACTAGTCTTCATGTCTGTTTTTGTGCCAGTCCCATGCTGTTTTTATTGTTATTGCTTTGTAATATAGTTTGAAGTCAGGTATCGTGATACCTCCTGCATTGTTCTTTTGACTGAGTACTGCCTTGGCTATTCGTGGCCTCTTGTGTTTCCATATAAATTTCACAGTAGATTTTTTAATCTCTTTAATGAATGTCATTGGAATTTTGATGGGAATTGCATTAAACATGTAGATTACTTTGGAGAGTATAGACATTTTTACTATGTTGATTCTACCAATCCATGAGCATGGGAGATCTCTCCACTTTCTATAGTCTTCCTCAATCTCTTTCTTCAGAAGTGTATAGTTTTCCTTGTAGAGGCCATTCACATCTTTTGTTAGGTTTACACCTAGGTATTTGATTTTTTTTGAGGCTATTGTAAATGGAATTGTTTTCATATATTCTTTTTCAGTTTGTTCATTATCAGTTTATAGAAATGCTAATGATTTTTCTATGTTGATTTTATATCCTGCTACCTTGCTGTAGCTATTGATGATGTCTAGAAGCTTCTGAGTAGAGTTTTTTGGGTCTTTAAGGTATAGGATCATGTCGTCTACAAATAGGGATATTTTGACAGTTTCTTTACCTATTTGTATTCCTTTTATTCCTTCTTCTTGCCTAATTGCTCTGGCTAGGAATTCCAGGACTATGTTGAATAGGAGTGGAGATAGTGTAGCCCTATAAATACTTCTTAAAGACAAAATATTGCCATCTACTAACCTAGGAATGGATGTGTACCTAGTGGTGCACCCTTCTTTATTATCTCAAAAAGATGCTTTTAAATATTTATATATCAATACACACAAAAGAAGTGATCTAGTTTTAATCTCCCAGTATGAAACTAAAACTCAGAAAAACTAAACTAGTTTCACAGTTAGATCACACAGTCTACTTACCAAGCCCAGTAACATATTACTAAAATTGAAGGATATAAAGTTCATAAAAAATATTCATTATAACATACTCCATTAGCACACTCATAATTAAAAGCCCTAAGTCTCGGTGGCTCATGGCAGCACATGCCTGTGATTCCAGCACTCTGGAGGTGAGGGCAAAAGGATTGCAAGTTTGATGACAGCCTGAACTATGTAGCAAGTCCCTGTCTCAAAAACTGTCATATATCTCTAGTAACACTATTTCCTGTGGTTAAAATTTAGGATACTGATACTACCTTTAGAAAATAAATTGTGGGGAAAAAGAAAATGAATTATGTGAGAGACACTGGTATGATCTAATGCTTAAAAATTTCATAGACTGGTGTAATGATGAAAATGCAATAGGATTTTTTGTTCTATAACTGTAGAATCAAAATGAAGTTAGATGCAGGGAACTGAAATCTTACCTGTTCGTTTATTTCTGTCCACGTAACAATACTTTAACTCATAGTCTTTTAACAAATCATGAACTTCCTGAAAGAGACAAAATCATACACTCAATAAGCACACGAATTCAGTCAGTGAATAAGATAGCTCTATTGCCTGTCACAACAGCCACCACCCCCACATCCACGTAGAAAAGGAGCTTTCACGGACCCTCTGGTGCTTATTGAAGTTAAAGACATCCAAGGCCACCAGACACAGCCCCAGCAACCTTCCAAAATACACACAGCCATACTCCTGCCCGAGTGGGTTACTGCTGTCCCATATGCACCACAGACTGTCTTCACTCCATATTGCTGCTCACACTTACGCCTTCATCTAGCATGGGGTGAACAAATCACTCAAGTTCCCAAACTTGCCCTGAAGTCACCAGCATGCTTTGAAACCTCACGGCAAATGTTCTTTCATAAAGCTTTTCCTGATGATATCCCACAGGATGTAACCTCGTCCTGTTTTATGCTAACAACAGCATCACTTTATGCGTCTCTTCCAGAAATATTGTATTTATTTCTGTTTCTATATACTAATGACAGAGGTTTGAACAAGTAACACACCTATCAATGCTTGTAGCACAAATGTGAATAAATAAACATAGATTGCATTTACTGTAACAAACAAATTGTAATTTTCTACCTTAGAAATTCCTAGTTACATAAACAACTACTACTGTAGTACAGTACAAAGTCCAATGCATTTCCCCTTCACTCCTAATAGTACTGGGTACAGGAGCTCCACGTTAATATATTTACATATTGCCACCTACTAGGTAGTGAATTTAATTTGTTTTGGTTTTGAGTTGGCATGTGGCCTTGAAATTTTTATTCATACTATAGAACAGGTGCAAAGGAATTAGACATTCTGGCCCAGTGTTGGAGAGTTACAGCCAACCTGTTCTACATAAGAAATGAATGAGACTAGTGTGCTGGCTTGTGCATGTAATCTGAGCTACTTGGGAGGTGGAGATTGGGAGGATCGAGGTTTGAGACCAGCAGAGGGTAAAAATTAGTGAGACTCCATCACAACAAATAAGCTGGATCTGGTGGTATGCACTTTTGGTACCAGATATGTAAGACATAGGTAAGAGGGTAAGAAAACAGTGGTATAAGGCTGGTCCCCAGCAAAAACATGAGACCTTATCTGAAAAATAACTAGAGCAAAAAGGGAAGGGAGGGTGTGTGTGTGTGTGTGTGTGTGTGTGTGTGTGTGTGTGTGTGTGTGAAGTGGTACAGTGCCTGCCTAGAATGAGCTAACCACACACAGGTGCTAGTATGTTAGGTATATAACCTAAAGGGCTGAATTCCATAATACTAATTATTATTCCAATTATTATAGTTAATAATTATTTAGTTTTTAGTAGGATGAATGCATTGAATTCAATTCTTTTACTAAAAATCAGAAAACAAGAGCAGAGGGAAATTAAGTCTAGCTAGTAGCTGGCTGGGTAGAGATTCAGCCAGTCAACAGGACCAGGAACCAGGCTGTTAACCTCCATGGTACATTGCCTTATTCCTTCCAGTGTCACAGTACATGGTCATTGATAGTTATAAAAGTAATTATAACTACTGTTTTTATAGTTACCCAATTATAAGAGTAACTCTTTATAATAAATAATCATAAGAGCAAAACAGAAATGGAAAATAAAAACGAAGATAGTTACAAGCTGAGAAACATTTTCCGATTTATGCCAGTGCAAGAGGGAAAGAAGAGTGTTACAACAATTGAGGTATAAAAACAAAGCTGGGTGAAAAAAAGAAAACCATGGACCATATAAAAGATAACACTGCTTATTGTTAAGCTATATTAGAGGTGCTCAAAAATACACACATGTACCAATTCTGTAAAAATATTGTTTGCTGAAGTACACAGTGCTGTAATCAATATATAGATAAGTTCATAACTTACTATGGTAATTTTATCTTGTATGCATCAATGTTCTCTTAGACTTATAAAACTTATACTGTATTCTTCATTAAGAAAAATGTAATCTCGCCTCCTATACAAGAATGAATACAGAGTTTTTAAACCTGTTGAAATCACCATAAGAAGGGGACTAAGGTAGAAAGGAAAAAAATAGAGGGGATAAACCAATTTGGGTTATAATAAATATATTCATCTTACAGCTATCTTAAACAAACAAAAATGTCATTTTTTTTCTTTTATAAAACTGGAGAATAGGAGGTCAGAACAGGTCCTGTCTGGAGGGTTGGTAGCAGTGGGAGGGGGAGGATGTGGGGAAAGGGTGTAGGAGGGTGAATATGGTGCAAATACTGTGTACACATGTATGTAAATGGAAAAATGAATCCTGTTGAAACTGTTCCAGAAATGGGGGTGGGGAGATGAAGGATAATGTGGAGGAGGTGAATTTAACTATAATATATCTGATATATTATAAAATCTTTTGTAAATGACACAATGTACTCCTAGCTCAACAATAAAAAAAGAAAGAAAAAAAGAAAAACACAACTTCTCAATTGCATAACATGTACATCTTGCCAACTAACCAATTTAATACTTTATAAGAAGGTTTTATTTGAAGGGATCAAGTGTATTCTTTTGGTGGCACAGAATCTAATCTTTCATTTCACTGGTGAACAGCTGTCAAACGCCAGATAAAGAAAACATGATACTGCTGTTCACATTATCACGTATCTGTAAACAAATGAGATGTTACACTACTCACTTAGCTAGGAGAGCTACCTAAGAGAAGGCTTGAGTATTCAAAGATGCATTTTGTAACTTAGAAATTTTCTTTTGAAAACATTCATGTTTCTAATTATAGCTTTTCTGTGCATCAGCTATGGGATACAGAGTTCCCCAACTGGGAAACCTCACAAAGCTTCCTACAAAGAAAAACATGAATTACTTTCCATGCCCTGGTTGTTCTGACCCAGGCAAAAGTGGGTCATCCTTCAATTTGAGCCTCAGTGAGTTGGCCAAATTAAAAACTTAAAACCTGAAAGAGAGTCCTAATAACCATTTGCCAAAATTCTACTGTGCTCTGGCTCACAGACCTGAAAGGACTAAACATACAGCTTCCTATAATGAATCTAACTTTATGATATTTCTACTAGATCACAAGCTAATTTTTTTCTTTTTTGGCAGTGCTAGGACTGAAACCCAGGGCGTCACACACGCTAGGCAAGTGCTAAACCACTGAGCCACCCACAAACTGATTTTTTAAGTAACACCTTTGATGAAATACTTTTGTTCTGACCAGCAATATCATTTACAGATTTCTTAGAGCAAGAGAAGTTTATCAAAATTGATATTAGTGACTGATATTAATTAGTAATGCATTTCCAGGCCAGATTCACTATTACTCCCTGAAGTGAAAACTTTTGCCCATCTAAAATATTTTCAATTCAGGTTATAATACTTATATATGTCACAATGAAACACCCTGTAGAGCTATCTTAAACAAACAAAAATGTCTTAAAAAATAAAAAAATGGAGAGCAGGAAGGCAAAACAGGTCCTATCTGGGGGTATCAATGGGAAGGGGAGGACATAAGGAAAGGGTGTAGGTGAATGTGATGGAAATATTGTGTACTCATGTATGAAAATGGAACAATGAGACCTGCTGAAACTATTCCAGGAATGGGGGAGAGGGAAGAAAGGAGAATGATGGAAGGGGTGAATTCAACTATGATATATTGTAAGAACTTCTGCAAATGTCACTATGTACCCCAGTACAACAGTAAAAAATAATTAAATAAAAAGAAATAAACGTTTTCTGCAGAGGAGACAAACAGTTTTCAACTCAAAGCATGCAGTCAATGACATCCCCACCATCACCAAAGTTAATAACTGTTGTTCTTACTGGTCTGGACTTCTTCCTAAATGAAATTCAGACTTTGTTATGAACCTGAGCCACACTGTTTCCTAAGCCCTTCATAGGCTTAGTTTTGCTTGTTTTAAATTGTTCTAAGAAAGTCTTTCACCAGTGAACATAAACTACTTTTAAATCCCACTGCCTCAGACTGAAAGAAACAAATGTTTTGTTCACTGTATTTTAAAATGTTATGTAACATACTAAAATGAAAAGATTATTGATAACACAAATTATGAGGCGTAATACAGCAATGAAACAGAGAGCAGGACTGCAGGACAAGCTGAAGGACCAGAACGCTGGCACCACCGTGGCTCCCACCTACACTCTCCTTCCGATCCCTGCCCACCTTCCCCTTCCCGTGGGTGTGTGTCTTTATGTGGGTATTATCCTCGAACAACCTATCATTTCGTATGACTTGTTTGATGCTTTTCTGTGCCTTTTTATTCCAGGTGTTATGTTTTATAACCAGGTGTTATGTTTCTAACACCTGGTTTGTTTCTAGATTGTTGTTTTGCTACTTACAGTTTTTATAAAAACTGTATCACATTCTTCTAAATACTACCTATCTACTGGCACTCATATACAAGAGGTGCTCCAGGATTGGAATCCCTGGGCTGCAAGCATGCAAATGACAAGCTTCACCAGGATGGAAGACTTGCTTGCCAGAATGGAGTGACGGTTCACATTTCATCAACAGCACATACAAGTTCTGCTGGTCTACATCCTTTCAGTGCTTGGTGTTAGCTGATACTAAGGTTTTGTCAATTAGTGGATATAAAATTGTGTCTCAATTGTGGTCTTAATTTGTATTCTATTGATGAGCAAAGAAGGGCATGATGATGATGGCTATCTGTCAATTTAGCTATAGAACCCAATTATTTAATCAAACATGAATCTAGAAGTTGCTGTGATGCTATTCTGTACACACAGTTAACACCTACCACCAGGTGACTTAAGTAGAGGAGACTGCCTTAGATAAGTAGGTAAGCCTCATCCAATTAGTTGAAGGTGGGTAGTAGTAAAGATGTAGGTTGCAGAAATTCCTCCTCAAGACTATCTCATCAACATCTACCTGAGTTCCCAGCCTGCTGAGTCTCCAGCCTGCTGCCATGTTGGCATTGCCCAAAGATTTTGGACTGACAGGCTCCATGAGTCCATTTCTTAAATCTTTCTACACACGTATGTTATGTGTGTGTATG